AGCGCGCCTCCCTTCTGCGCGAAAGACGGCATTTCCTAAGTCATCACTTCAGCATATGACACGAGACGTTGCTCAACCACCTGATGTCCTTCACTCTTCGTCTCGAATACGTGTTCCACCACCTGGGTTTTCGTCATGCGGTTCTTCAAGCGCTCATAACGCTCCCCACTTGTCTTATAAGGACGCCTTGCTCATGGTAGACCAGCTGATGCATGGAGGAAATACCGAACAACGCCATGACTACTCGAAATGTGAAAATCTTGGTTTTACATCACTTGGCTCTTTCATCGCTCACAACTCACCTTACGCCTCACTCACCCACTACGGTTGAGATAGAGCTGCGGAACTCCGAATATACTCAGCCAAGCCCAGGGCCAACCATCCACATTCATGCATCAGAACAGCTTATCTCCAAAGGTGCGGACAGAGAGAAACAGCCCCAAGTAAAATCGGACCAAACCAATCCTTTCGCAGTGTCGCCGTCGAGTTCCCATCCACCTGAGAGCCCAACCAACACAGGAGGCTCGGAAGGATCAACTCTGAAGCACTGCCCTGTGCCAGGAACGTCCATTAAGAATGTCGTTGCAAGAACCTCAGCAGATTTTTCTGTCAATTCTGGCGCACTATCTTCATTGCCTGACACGAATCACGACACCCTAACAAGTATCGACTATTTGCGGGTCACATCGACCTATAAAGAAAAGCGGGCTCATGTTTCTAAAGGAAGTTCACCTCGTCAGATAGTGCAACATAAACAATGCCAACAAAAGCAACAAGGAGAGGCCCAGCAGCTAAAACGGCCACACCAGCAAGGTCAACGAAGAACTAAAACCACATCGCAGGCATACTTGCGGCTTAAAGAATGTCGTGAACAACGACCACCACAACCACCACCACCACCACAACGACCACTACAGAAAAGACTGATTTCGCAATTCGGCCACCTTCGCAGAAAGAAAAGTCAAGGCACTTTTCTGCACCAGCGTTCAAGATTGCGCCTTTGGTCTTAACATCTGCGCCATCACCATAGAAAACTCCCTAAACGCCACAAAACAACCGCTTGTACTCTGCAGGAACACAAGCAGCGCCCAATCATCCACGATCAACGGGCATGCAAACTGCATGCACCGCATTTGTGTCACTCACGACGAAAAATGCGACGCCAACAAAACTGTCGATTTTGCAAGGAATTCCAGCCTCGTTCATTCCTCGAAAAAACGCTGGCTGCGTTTCCGTCGGTTTCCACGCCCAAAGCATGCTTATGTCGTCCAGAGCGTAACAGCCAGCCTCGCCCACCAGAGCCGTACTTGATAACCCTGGATTGCTGCCCTCTCCTGTGAAGTCTGTGCGATCTTACTGAACTTCAATGTGATGTGAAACTACAGCCCATTTAGAAATTTTTTTGTGTTCCAGGATTGCTTGTTCATCATGTATTGTAATATGTAACGCGAGCATTCTTTAGGGGGCAGGGGGAATACTGTAACGTAAGAAGGTAGCGATAGTTGGTAGAAGTAGAGAAGGAAGAAGTGCAGAACAGAATAAAAAGGGGTATGAGCCAGGCCACGTCGCCCATCCATCGTAACGTCACATGTACACGCTTGCATAACGAGCTCAGCCCATGTTTGATTATTTATGGTTTCCCAAGAGTCCGAGCGCAATCTTTGGTCTCACCCGAAATCCGAAAAACCGTGAACCTGCGAGTTTTTTTAGTGAAACCGAACTACGAAATGCAAATGCGTTTTGTAGCGCTTTCTTGAAGTGGTGTACTGTAAAGCATGAAGCATTTTTCCTAAATATCATGAGCCACAAGGGCTGCACAAAGTACCGCAGAAAGAGTTCGTTTCCTGACTTTCTAAAACACTGTCTGCACTGATCATAAGAGGGGCTCTATGTTGTGCTTGCAAAATATTTAAGCATCTTTAACTGTTATCATTCTAGGATCGTAGGAAGAACACTCTCATTATTCTGACAAATCAAGTGCCTCGTCTCCCTCATCATTTGAATAATTTTATTGTTGGCTTTGATGGCCGCGCATCAGAATAACGTGTTTCAGAAACTGGTTGTTTTTGTGCTTGCTTCCGCGGGTGGCGCAGCCCCGTACCCTGCATCGCCACTGACGCGTTTCTATACTATTACACAACCATGCTCTAACGTTATCTTCTAATAAAAGTAAAATACACCAATTCAGCATACAACCTAATCTAGTGGGTAATTTTAGTGTGTTTCAGTCACCTATAAATTCTGAAATAGTGGCATGGTTAACCTTTTGTGGATATTTTGGAAACGTGCTGAGGCCGTACAATAAAATCGGACTTCATCCGGACTCGGGGCGTTCAAGTGGCCTCACGAAAACGTTTTAAAAAATACACTGAAGATGCGTTTCTGTTGTCTGGGCAGTGATCACTCAGTGGTGGAAGATAAGGTAATGAGGAACAGATGTAGGTCGAGAATGTTTGAAGAATGAGTGGAAATGCGTGTTGGCTGAGTGACTAGTTCAGATAGACTGAATGCAAGACATGTGTTAAAGAAACCACTTTCGATGCCATTTCTTGACAGCGTGACTCCATGGTTAGTCAAGTCGATCAAAGGAAAGTTGAAATCACTGAAGATAACGATAAAAGAGTTATAATAGGCTTCCTTTGTGGTTTGAAAGCATACATGGGAGCCTTAATTGAACGAGCTGACACTATTAGGTGGTTGATAACAGACACTGATATGCATGCGCGGCAATGTAGCATTGCAGCATATCCATAAGAATAGACGATACGCTTACCAACGTGCAAAGCAAGGATCGGTTAGTAGCAATGAAGACACCACCACCACGGGAGCCATCTTTACGAAATATATCAAAATTAGCAAATGATGGTAAACACTCATAATCCAAGATAGACGAATTTTCGGTTATTAAGACCACATTGCTTGAGGATGAGGCTACAAAGTAAGTCACGCTTGGGTATTAAGCTACAGATATTTCTCTATAGGAATGATAAGGGTGTTTGGCGTGGTTTACTTAGTTCATTGCGATGTGCAACCTGGAGCTAGGATATACAATTGACGACCTTTTGTGCAGCGTGGTCACAAATATAGGTTTTGTTATTGCATTAAATAACGTCGTATCGGAGCTTCAAGTTTACAAGCCTTACTAAACTGCACTAGCTGTTTGCAGGCTAAGCGCGTTTGCGGCGAAAAGCCCTCGCTGACATTATAGACAGATCCTTTAAATGTTTTACTTTGCAAAAGTATGTCTTACATTACTTTAAAATTACCAAACTTAACAGTTATGGACCGATTTCTGCCTTGTTTGTTGGAGCCCAGTTTGTGCGCACGCTCAGTATAACTAGACCCAATTGTTAGACCGAGGAATGTCTTGTAGAAATCAAGGATCATTTTTTCTTCTTCTTGCCAAAAATTTTTTTTTTTGCATATGACTGGCACCAAAGAAAACGACATTATTACGACGGGGCCTGTTTTCCCCATCATCCATTTGAACAGACAACGATGAAACTTGGCTTGCGCATTCTATAGTAGCTACTTGAAGTTTTTTCATGTCAACTTAAAAAGTGGTGAATGACAAGCACTCCGATTCAATTTTCTCAAGCCTTGTTTTAAATTAATTAAAATATTTTTCTTGACTCTCAAGGGTTAGAAATATTGATTTCGATTCCTCAAATATCATCGTCTGCCCTGATTGCCGCTATTTTATTCCGCTAACAAGTTCGCGCTACGAAGAATTAGAGAAAAGGCCTGGGTTGGCTTCAATATCTCCTGCTGGTAGTAACCATTTGAGCTATATACAACTACAGTCATCAAACACTTTCCGCGTGCATCGTGGGTTGGGCAGTACGACAAGCGTACGACAACTCGTTTTTTTTGTTGGGGGGGGGGGCGAACAAACAATGGCATTTAGTTACCTACATAACAAAGACGAGTCAGTAAGGCCGAGCCATAGGTGTCGTACCTTGCCTGGGGCCCGAAACACACGTTCAATGAATTTCGCGCATTTATTTTAATGCTATGGCTGGCAAAGATGAATGGGTGGATGGAAAAATATTATTTCCTCAGAAGTCAACTGCGAACGATGCCGTGTTAGATGAGCATCAGCCCAAGGTTGACAGCACCTGTGTGGCCCACTCCACGACCCTTGTCGGGACAACATGGCCTCCCAGTATTCGAGAGAGGGATCACGCATAATATGCGTCGGAGGCGGCACCATGCTACATTCCCAAAGTATGTGACCATATGCTGCCTCTGCATGGCACCATTTGCATTGTGACTTTATCTCCTCCGGGTGTATTTTGTTCAACACGTAAGGGTTGGGAAAAAGTCGCGTTTGCAGTTTTCTCCAGGCGCATTCCTGCGCCTTACCCCTCTATTCAGAAACGCTCCTTGACTTGAGCTCGACTTGAAACCGCCTTCAGTGCAGCGCGTTTGAAACGCGTCTGTGCGTTTGTGCTGCATTGAAATCGGTAGCAAGTCAAATCAAGCAGCGCTCCCGAATGCGGGGGTTAGTCAACCACTTTTGCGAAGGCGGATGAAGCTTCCGTTCTAGTTTATAAGTGATGTCGTGAAAGGACACCAGCCCATCTCTCACGGACCTCCCCGTAACGGGTGGCTCACCTACCCGGCAGACGAAGCCTAAATCGCGCAGGTGAGCCACCTCGTTCCCAGGGTTCCCATACTCCACGAAGTGCTGATGCCCAGAGAAATGTGGCTCTTGCAATTGGTTGGAGCATTCGGCGACACACTAGTTACACAATTCGCACTGTATGACGCCTTGTTGTTCTTTTCTAAAATACTTGATTACTCATATTAACGAGATTGCTTTCCTGACAAAAACTGCACAGGCTTGCACGCAGGGCACATTGGTTGAAATCCCGTTGTTGTTTTTCGTGTGATGGTTGTTACGGACACAGTCGGCGGCTGACAAGTATACGGCGCAAGTGACCCTCGTTGTGACCACATAACAGCCTTTGTTGTATGGAAGAGCCGGGACGAAGTAGCAACAATATAACAATCGCAGTTTAATGAAACAGTGTCAATGAATGCTACCGAAAGTGAGCGTCTGACGAGCATGTCGTGCGTTACCGTCGTTCACCGAAAGGCTAATCTTAGAAACACTTGTAGACCTCGGGTGGCTGTATCTCGCGTTCCATCTTCTTCAGCCTCCGGAAGTAGAGCACGACGCACGACACGTAGAAGAGCTGCGCCGGAACGTGAGGAACGTGAGGCCTGTACGCTGAGGCCGACCGACCTACCTGTACGCTGGAGAAGGCCACCGTCGTGGCGGTGATCCAGGCACTGGCCGGCACCTGCACCGCCAACACGTCAATCACCGTGCAATACCGCCAACCCCGCGCATACCGACTGCAGGCCGAGGAAGATGCTGCACTTGAAGAGCAGCGCGCACTCGACGATGCTGGTGACGATCCAGGGCAGAATGTACGCCTTGCGCCGTTTCAGGGCGCCTGCGGCAAGCAGCAGGGAGAGCGCCGCCTGGAGCACCGAGTGCAGCACCAGCAGCGCCGGGTAGAGGAGGCCCCCTGCGAGTGGCGCCGTCGTTACGTCACCCGACGCCTCGGGGCACTACTCACAGAAGTGGTCGTCGGGTCGGTGCGAGTCTCCGGTGAGGATGAAGAAGGCTGCCAGCAGGTACCAGAAGGCGAAGAACTCGAGCACGTGTATCACCTGCGTCGTCGTCGTCAAAAGGGACAAACTAGCGCGCCGGCAACGGACTTACCGCGCTCACGACGCCGATGAAAGCAACCACACCGTCCACGGTGCAGCAACGCGGCGCGGCTGCCATGGTCGCACTGGAACCGGTCCTAGTGGGGGGCGCCCCTATAATCGGAAGTGGCGCACTTTCGCTTTGACACACTTTGCGGTGGCTCCCAAGTGGTGAAGGTAAATCGCATTCTCTCCCAACAGGCATCCAACACAAAGTATTTCCTCCGCTCCGTTTGATGGCAGCAAAAAGCACTGTGACTGCAGTTCTCGCAAAATCTCTTCATCGAAATATTTCCAAGGGCTCATCTTTTTTCGTTTGACCGAGCCTTAAGGAAAACCAACTGAAACCAAGCAGAAATTCAAAACTTCGCCATTTCTATCAATTCAAGTAATATAGCAATTCAGCACACAGAAAAAGGTCCCGCAATCTGATAGTGAATTGCGACGTGCTGTACATACATAATAAACAGGAAGAAAAGTTCAACCTTAGCGTCAACAGGTAGGAATGGAAATTGCAATGTGCAGTTTCAGAGCAGTAGTAGTATACCATTCAAGTACATATTATAAGAGACAAGAAAACATGCGATACACTTGAAACAAAAGAAACGTTTGCACAATATAGTAGATAAAAAAGTGTGAAAGCGTGCTTTAGGCGCTGAGTAAAAGAAATGCTATATGGTGTTATACTGATTGATAAGGAACCTTTTTATTTATTTGGCAAATGAGCTCAGCGTAATTGATTTTAAGATAGGTGACACATAGATTATGCACTAAATGAACGGTTTGTTTACCATAGCTAGTTCACACTTTTGACCTGACGAAAAGTTTGTTTAGCTCAAATATAGTGCTGGGCAGATCCCACGTTAAGCGGGAATCGATAATATGTAAAATACGAGAGGGGAAAGGCTTTAAAATCAGCACAACGTTACGAGGTGGACCTAAATTATGCCGTACATGACTTCCATGTCATGATTATCATGTTTGACCATGTCACTTACCTTCGTCGTCTATTCTCGTCCCGTGGTACCAAATTTGGTATATGAGGAGCTAGCGAAGCAGCCACGAGTACACTATGAGCGTAGCATATAGTGATGTTTTACATGGCATGCATGTCATGATTTTCATGTTTCGACGTGCGATTTATCTTCATCGCCCATTCACCTCACGTGATACCTAATTCGGTATATATGAAGCTAGCAAACGGACATGAGCGCGCTGTGTGCGTAGCATGTAGTCATGTTTTACGACACGCATCCCATGATTATCATGCTTGGACGTGTCATTCACCTTCGTCGTCTATTCACGTCACGTGATACCAAATTCGGTATATGTGGAGCTAGCAAACGTCCGTGCGCGCTATGAGCGTAGCATGTAGTCATGTTATACATTACACGCATGTTATAGTTGTCATGCTTGGACGTGCAATTTAACCTCATCGTCCATTGACGTCACGTGATACTGAATACGGTATATGTGGAGCTAGCAAACGGCCGCGAGCGCGCTATCAGCGCAGCATGTGGTCATGCTTTACATGACACGTATGTTATGATTATCATGCTTGGACGTCGTCCACTCGCATCACGTAATACCAAATTTGGTATATGGGAAGCTAGTGAAACGACCGCGAGCGCACCACTGAGCGTAGCGTGTAGTCATGACTTACATAACATGCATATGTCATGATTTTCACGTTAGGGCCTGTCACTTATGTTCGCCATGCAATCATACCAGTTTTGCAATATGCCATGTGAACGAAACCACCGCAAGAGAACAAGACCATGGATAGTAAATTATGACATTCATGATATACATGTCATGATTTTCATGTCATGGCTAGTCACTTATGCTCGTCATACCATGACGTTGTTCCATACCAACTTTATAATTGATACCGATATCAAAACGGCCAGGAGAGCTAAAAGGTGGCGAGACAGATAGATACGCTCAATGTCGCTAGAAAATGCATTAAAAAAATCCAGCGTCCACAGCTTCAATTTGAACCTGGGTTATGGAGTGGGCATTCTACGTGTGAGCTACTTTGGCGGAGCCACGCGCAGCTCTTGAAACAATGACACATTGCAGCCTACCGACCGCAGCGTCACGATACCTTGCTTCACTTTGTGTACATTGGTTCTACAGCAGTTCCGGGCACTCCCTGTAGCTACCCACCGCTCTCGGGAAGACTTGTTTGTTTGTTGCCGTTAAGCCTTGGCACACTCTGGGGGACAGGCCATGAAAGCTTGTAGTCGCCTATATGTTAAAAGAAAAAGAGAGCTAATACTACATCAGAAGACTGAAATGTTGAGTAGACCAGACAGTTGAGTTTACCTCACCCGATCAAAGTCGACTGAATATGCGACTTTCCTTCGCATTATCAATCAAATCACAAGAATTCGTCAAGAATATATTTATACAGGCGTTATATTGACATGCGTTTAGATTCCTGAATAAAATTGCATACCGCAACAAATTCGTTTCTGCGGCAATGTCCCAGGCTGGAGGCGCCGAAACTGAGAACATTAGCTGCAGTTAAGTTTAAGCCTACTGTGGAAAACAGATTACCTATAAGTCTTTTACTAATTAATGAGTAGTTCTGGCATAATACAAAGTAAGGCTCAATTGTTTCTGTTTCTTCGCGGAATGGGCGCAGGAGGTATATTGCCAGACCAGCTCTGTGTAAAAAATTTAGTGGGGTACTCGACATCGAAATTCGGATAAAATAACTTCTAACTTTTTAGATCGACTCCACTGAGCTTTTCAGAGATGTCTGAGGTGCTGATAGTTCGTCCATTTAGCAATATTTCCCATCATATCTGTAAATTAGCTAACTTTCTATACCTGATTGATACTATGTATTCTATTTCTGGGAGTACGGAGATCAGAGGACCATGAAGCGAAGCTCGGGCTAATGAATCGGCCCTTTCATGCAACTGTATGCCATAGTGGCATAGGACACATACAAGCTTCAGGAGTCTCAGTTGAGGTGGAACTAATGTGCGCAATGTCAGTAGGGCTCTTCAATGTCCCGAAGCTGTGAGTGCAGTACACTCCGAAAGAGAATCTGTAATGATGTTTGCTTCGTTTGAAGGCAGTTTTTGAAGCGCTAAAATAATAGCCAAGAGCTCAGCTTCCAAAACTGGTGTGAAGTCTGGCAGTCTTACTGAGAATGACCAACCAAGTAATTCCTGTTGCTGCCTTTTCATTATTCACAGAATCGTCTGTGGCTATTATGTTCTTTGTTTCTGCGTGAACTATGTAATCTTATAACCTGTTATTCAAAAAACTCAAAGATTATAACTTAGTTGGGGGGGGGGGGATTCGCATCATATTTTACCGTAATAATTTGATATAATGCTTTAGTTTCAATTGCCGATCTGATGTCCCCATTTATGTTTACCAGTTTTCTTTGTACAAAAATAATCCGGGGAGTACGAAAGCCTGGTCAATGAGCGAAGAAGAAGGCGTCGGGGTCACTAATAAAGGCATATTCCGATCGTCTTGCCAATAAGCTGTAGAATTTCAAGAATGTTTCTACAGTTAGCATAGTGGGCGTGCGAGTTTCGTGATACGTGACAATAATACCTGGGAAATCTCAAACACAAATGTAGTGCTTCACGCTCCAACGGAACTAAAGGTTTTGTGCGCAGGGCCACCCGAACATGATATCCCCCCGAATTCTAGTATTGGGCGCATGTACGTTTTGTATAACATTAATATTGTGTGTCTGCGTAACCCACTTTTCCTGTTGCTCAACCTGCGCAATAAACCTGAAGCCCGTTGTGCCTTTGCCGCGATATATTCCATGTGAGGGCTCCAGTGCAGTTTCTCATTATAAATAATGCCCAAATATTTGATAGACTCCACTTTTAGATTCGGTTCTTACTTATATAGTACAAAAATCGAAATAGAATATGTTAGTGGAAACACCACGAGAGCACTTTCACTGATGTTTAGAGACAATGAAATTGACTGCAGCCACATTTTGAGAGAGTACATATACGTTTGCAATTTTTCATGCAAAGAATAATAGTCACTGTCTGCTGCGAGAGAGAGAGAAATAAATAGAGAAGAAAGGCAGGGAGGTTAACCAAGCTTGACTAGGTTGGCTACCCTACACTCGGAGTGGGAGAAAGGGAGAATAATAGAAAGAAAAGAGATAGAAAAGAAGAGGAGTAAGAAAGAGAAGGATGAATAGTCAGCTCGAGACTACACAGCATGGTCTTACACTGTTCTTCCACAAGCGGTCGGGAAGTCTGTTTTTCCTTAAGAATTACAAGAGGGCTTTCGTGGCTTTGCGTGTATGGGAAACCATCGGCCAAGGTCCCAGGATCTTCTCTTCTGTAAGCGGCCGTGAATCCAGCTGACAGAGCTTGGCTTCCATAATACGTCGTTCAGACTGGTATGCTGGGCAATGGCATAGAGTGTGCTCAAGCGTTTCCCCGCAGGCGCAGATGTTGCATGCCGAAGTGCTCGCCATTCCAAGGAGACGAAAATACGCACTCGTAAATGCCACGCCCAACCTCATGCGACACAGTAAACTTTCAGTGCATCGTGGATGCCCGGATGGCAAATGAAGTTGCAAGTTTGGGTCGATCGAATACAGGTGCGTGTTGGAGAAACCCGGCGTATCCCATTGTAGGAGAGTTATACGGCGAGTGATTGTAGTCGCTTTGGAGCGTCCGTTCTCAAGAGTGGTATGAGCGTACGCAGGTATTGGTCATAAGCCGATCGAGCAGTTTCATCTGCGCGGTCATTGCCGACAATTCCGCAATGACTCGGCAACCACTGAAACAGAATATCGTGACCTTCCTTGAGCGCGTCGTGGTAGTCGTGCCTTATGTGATATAGTGATTTTTCGTGTAACCCGTGCTGTATTACAAACCGTAGTGTCTGTAAGGCTGACCTCGAGTTGCAAAAATGGCCCATTGGTTAGGTTGCAGCCGAAGAATGTATTTTGCTGCACCTTGAAGCGCTGCGAGCTCTGCTGCTGTCGACGTCGTGGTGTGAGAAAGCTTGTACTGAAGTAACACATTATTAGATCGAGCAATTAACCACTGCTCCTGTAGAGCTGCTGGAATTAGTGGAGCCATCGGTGTAAACATGTATGTGGCCAAA